TATAAATTACTATATTCGAACATATACATATGTAATAATTACGAAATCTACAGACGAATAATTTATAAAAAAAAACATGATATACGACATTACACGTATGACTTATCAAAATTTTAACGAGCGTGCCTAATTGTGAGAATGCTCGTTTTTGTACACTATTATGAAATGTGTAATCGTAGTAGGATAGCGGCAGAGAAGCGACAAAACATTCATTGCACATGTAATCAGTTATGTAAATATTCGTATATTTATTTTATTTTAAATTACAAGTGTATGTGGTGCACACAATAGAAATAAATCTAAGTAGATAATATTGTTAGTGTTGAAAATATTATGGACATGTGAAACGCAGAGGAGAGCTACTCTACTCATCAGTATCATCACTTTATGCCATTTATGAATTTAATAAAGTCAACAAATACATATACTTCATCTTATCAGAAAGGTTTCTTTTCGTTTTAATAGAAAAAATGTAGCTATATATTTTCCCATCTTGCAGTATTATATGCGTCTGTAAATATACACGAATTTTTATGTAACTTTCTTTTTAATACATACGTACACTTATATACGTATATATCAAAAGAATTCAGAGTAATTACAGAACATTAACAATTCAGTCTGTCCTTGAAGTTTTCTCAGGTTTCTTTATTATGTGCTACGATATTGTATCGAGCTACGTTTGACATGAGAATACACAAATTTTTCATCTTCCAATATCAACATAATATGTACACGCGTGACCATAATTAAAAACGCCACAAGAAATAAAAACATTGATTTATTTTTAATGTAACGTGAGACTATAATAAAGAATATAATTTTTTTATGACATTTTGATAAATCTGCCTTGCTTGAAGATTGCACAGTAAAAATCCTCAAGAACTATTTTCAGGATATTTTGCAATTATAATTTCTTCGCGTTTATAAACGTTCTCCAGGCTAATTTAGGCACGTCTCAAGCATGACAGATTTTGTAACAATTAAAATCTTTGCTCGCTTTCTTCACATCAATCGCCTCATTAGTATGCAAGGTACGCTTTATATAAGTGAAATAATAAGCACATTTTTATTTTCTATATATACATATACACGTATGTATATATATATATTTATAGTTTGTATTGGCTCTATAAACTAAAACATAAGCTAGTAGAGAATGATCCTCGTTTCGCTCAGAGCCTTGCACATTCTACATCGCGATTCCCAAATCGCTATTTAACAATTACACTGTTCACATTGAGCAAAGCGAGGCACGGCGTAACTTATTCGAGAAGGTCGGAAAAGTCTTTAAACGACCGACTTTAAACGAAAGTCTTTAAATAGACCAAGACCGTCTCCGTTTCTTGCGTTTTCACCGAATTGCAGGGCGTACATTGTGATTATGAATATATAATCAGAAATATTGTGCTCTTTGTTTCTCAGAGCCATAGCAAACCGAACGGCTGTCACAGATGCAAGAGAGTGAATGAAACAAGCGAGAACATTATCAGTCTCGGTTTTATTACTTATTAAAGATTAAAGAGCAAAATCAGGACCTCCACTAGGTTTGTTACGGTTCCGTTTTGTTTTAAACAATCACACATGAGTTCTTACCTCTTACAACTGTTACAAATGAACAACTGCTTACATTACGACATGACATTACGGAGCAGCAGTGAAATCCTGCGACGTTGATTATGATTTTCTCTTTGTCGCAATCGTACGAAATTGGTTTGACCATCAATTATCATGCCTTTTAAATCTCGATATGATAAAAGAAATCTTTATCGTGCACGCTCGCTACCGCGATTCTCACTATTGCTACTCCGTTGTAGACACACAGAAATATTGACGGAAATCGAGAACTGTTCATCAGACATGAATCTTTATGATATTCTAAAAAAAGAAAGAATAATGATATATATATATATATTTATATATACACATACATATATATATATATATATATATACACATATATATGTATGTATGTATGTATCCTTTATATATAAATAGCTTGCTTTTTCTTCATTTACTCTAGCGATTGTATGAACATTTCCTCTTTCATATCAAACGTCGATGACGATAAAATCAAGACCACAACAATATTTTGATGCAATAATGAAAGTGTATCTATAATATCGAATCCTATGATCCGCGGAATATATTCGCGGTTGTTTTAGCTTTTAGTTTTTTATTCTTTTTGTTTCAGTATGGATAAATGCACGCGCGCTCGTACGCGCGAGTGCATTCGCTCTTGTACATCTAGGAGCTTAGCGATAAAATCTAACGCCAAGTTTTACTGCAGTCTAAGTCTAAGCGCTTACTCAATATTATAATTAACTTAACGCATTATATTTACATTTAAAAATAGATTCAAAAGTTTGTGTGTGTGTGTGTGTGTGTGTGTGTGTGTATGTGTGTGCGGACGGTGCGCCCGCCGCATAGTCTATTTCAAGTGGAAACACGTGTCGTTACTCGTTACCATTACCCCCGACAATATATTACCTGTCCATAGGCCTAGTAGCTGGCACCGAGCTCTCCACAAGATCATGCCTCTCGATCGGCGAGTTCTCCAACGTGTAGTCGGCCGGGTATCCCTCGGGATACGTCGGCGTGGCCTCACCACCCTGCTGTCTCAGTCTCAGGTCGCTCGATCTCTCCCGATAGAAGCTCTGCGACGTCTCGACGTTCGGCGACGAAGACGACTGCTCTTCCGTCTTGCCGTCCAGATCGTCAGCCGTGGAATAGTAACTCTGGCTCGCCTCGCTCTCGGGTCTGCTGGGGTCGTAATAGCCGGGCGAAATGCCATGACTGGGGTAGTTGGGCGTCTCCTCGGCCGGGGCGAAGTAGCTCTGACTCACCTCCTGAGGATTACCCTCGTAGTAGCCACCGGGCGTGACGTGCTCCTCGTGGGGATCCTCCTCCAGTCGCGAGTTCGCATCTTGATCTACGGACTCGTAGTAACTCGCCGTCACCTCCTGCTGATGAGCGTAGTAACTGGATGGCTCGTTCCGGTGACGATCGCCGCTCTCCGTGACAAAGTTCTGTGAGCAGGTCTCCTCCAGGCCGGGCATCGAAATCGGCACCTCGTACGACGTCGACACGTTCTGCTCGACTATCACCTGGTCCTCGTAGTCGCTCGAAGTAGGCACAGAGTCCACGTGGTGGGTCGACGTAATGTCGGGATTCAGGTTGTACGACGAAGAAGTCGGAATCTCCGGGACGCCGTTGTCGTGGATACCAGGATGCTCCGTGCTGACCGACGTGTCCGGTATCACGCTGGACGAAGCGATGTTGAGTTCTTCGCATGGCGGGATCTCGTACGACGAGGTGCTTATCGCGCTCTCCTGATCCTGATCGCGCTCTTGGTTCTCAGGGGTCTCCGGCACGTAGGACGAACTCGCTGTTTCGTCCTCGTTCAATCCAGAATTATTAGTCGACACGGACGACGTGCCTATGCCATCGACACCGACGTCGTTCGACTGCGATGGTATATTACCCTCCTGACTGATCTCTGCATCGGTTTCCAAATTCTCCGCCATGCTCTCGCCCTTGTCGACCTCGTAGCTCTGCGTAGGGAAGCTTTGATCGTCAATCGCCTCGTCCGCGTCGGCACTCGGTCGCTCCACCTGACTCTGCACGATCTCGTTGAAGGACTGCGTCGGCGCGTTCACATTGGATTCCGCCGAAGCTTCGTAAGACTGGGACGCTTCGTTGATCTTTGTATGTTCGAAGGACTGGGACGGTGGTTCCGCCACAACAGTCTCCTCGTCCGTCTCCATTGGTTCGTACGCGATCGACTGGGTGGCCTCGCCTGCGGAGCTCTCCAACTTGGAAGCGGATTGACTAGGTAGATCCGTGAAGTCGCTGCTGACAGACACGTTGAACCGCTCGTACTGAGACTGCGAAGGCGTTTCTTGACTAGCTTCCGCGATCGTCGCCGTCGCCGTCGCCGTCGCCTCCTCCTCTTCCTCGAATCGCAGTTCCATACTTTGGCGCAGGCGACGTCTGTCCGTTTCCTCCTGCGACGATGGCTCGTCGCTTTGACAATCCGCCGCATTTTGCTTGCCAATTGTGCTTCTGGCGAATAGATCCGGTTCGACCACTTTGTCCAACTCCATGGTCGCGTCACTCGGGGAATTCGATAACTTAGCCGACAGAACTCGTGAAGCTGTTCGACCCTTCTTTGTGTTCGTGCCTGCTACCTTCTGATCCGCCGACTTAGCATTACCACTAGATCCTTCAGAAACCGTTAGCTGCTTCAGTTTATCCGACGCGTTTGCCTCGTGCGATTCGCTCGCGGCTTTACGTTCGCTCGAATCTGTCACCTCGAAGCTCAATTGTTTCATCGAATCTATTTGCGAATTAGATTCGGACGTGATCAGAGTGATTTCGTTTATCGTAGCGTCGCTCTCTTTATTTCCGCTTTTCGTTTCCCGCACAACTTCCATCGTGCTCGAGGCCGTATCTTCGTTAGCCGATTGCTGCAGAATCAGTTCCTCAGATGTGTTGGGAACTTGCTGAGAAGAGTAAACCTCTCGCAAGGTCGTAGGCTGCTCCTCGTCCAAGTTCTTGTTGGTCAATGTAATCGATTTCTGCGGAGATCATAAAATAATAATCATTTCATAATAATCATTCATAATAATCATTCATAATAAGCAAATAATCATTTCCGACGTTACCGTGATATCCTGCGATTGCGCGTTCTCCGAAACTTTGGAGACCAGCATCTCCGATACTGGCACGTCCACGAATGTCTGGTCGGTGACGATCGTTGTGGCTAATTGCGAATTGTCCACGTATGTATCGTCGATGATCGGCATCGACGGAGTAGTTTGTACCTGCGGGTTCTCCAGGATCATGCTGTTCGGCACAGTGACCGTGTACGAGGTCGACGGCGCGATCGTGATCTCGGCGCCCTGCACGTTCTGCGTTTCCGTGGCCGCGATATTATCCTCCAGATTCGAAATCACCAGGTACTGAGTATTCGCAGGAATCTCGGTGCGATCTATCTCTCCGCTCGCTACCGTCGCCGGGCTCTCTATAATCTCGCCGATGTCCGGCATCGAGTTGCCGGGGATCTGAATCTGCGTCTCTCCCGTGGCGGATATGTAGGAGATGCTGGGATTCGTAATGGTGATCGGTAGCTCGAGGGACGATGGGATAGTGGAGACCACCGACGTGGCAGTCGAATCCGTCGACTGAATCGGCAGATTGCTCGGCACCTCGAGCGGCGTCATGATCGGTTGATTCAGAGTCAGCGAAGTCTCCAGCACAGAGGGCGAAGATATCGGTTCCGTGGGTGGGATGATGGTTGACTGCAGGATGGTCTGATTGATGAGACTCGTCTGAGTCAGACCGGTCTGCGTCATGACGCTACCCGCTTGATTCTCCGGCAAATTGATCTCCTGCTGAAAGTCCGTGTTGGCGAGAGCGGCCGCCAGGATGTCCTGATTGGACGTTTGTATCACCTTCGACGCCGGAAAATTCTCGCTTACGATTGTCGTTTGACTAGCCTCTGTCACGTTGGCTTGAATATTCGGCAAGACACTGTTGTCGAATTGAAGAACAATGTTATCCAGGGTTCCGGCCTCTCCCAGCGAGCTGGGATCTATGTACAAGGTTCTCGTGCCGTCCGGGTTCTGCGTCGTTCCTTCCAACGACATGAGAGTATTGTTATCGAGTGGCTGTATCTGTCCTTGTTCGTCTATCGTTACCAACACGTAGGTTTGCGTGCCGTCACTGCTCTCTGTCGGCAGAGCCATGATCTGGGGCTGCGCGGCCGCCTTTGACTCCTCCACTTTTTCCGCGTCGCACTTTTCATCTTTAAATTTCTCAGTTTTGCCCAGCTCTTTCTGCGGGGCATCTGGAGCAAGCTGGAGATCCATTTTCGCCTTCTTCTCCGCGTTGAGTGGTTCTAGCGAAGATAAAGTAGCGGTACTGGCCGCGGCGATATTCACGTTCGAGGTGGTGGTAGCGGGGCTCATCGAGTTCACGGCGATGTTCAACCGATTTTTCTGTGCCTTACTCGAGACCGAAGATTTGGCGGAGGACTTGAAAGTTGCGGGAGTTGTCTGTTTCGACTGGGCGACCGTCTTGGTGGGGGTAGCAAGGGTGACGACGGCGGTCGTGGCGGTGGCGGCAATCGTCACAGTTGTGGTTGTGGCGGCAGTCGCGACGACCGTCTGCTTTGCTTGGACATTCTGCACCGTCGATACAGCCGGTTCTTGCATTTTCTGGACGACGATCTTTTGCTGACTTTTCATCTGGCGGTTGCTAGTTCTAGGTATAATGACTTTTTGCACGGTTGACGACACGGCGGCTTTGCCTTTCGGCTGTACCTGCTGTACCTGCTGCACCATCGTCACCGTTTGTTGTGTGCCGCTCGGCGAAGCGACGCCTTGAATGCTGGTACCTGGCTGCACCACCGTTTGCTTGACAATCTTCTTGCTATGTGACATAGTTTTTTGAGATACCGCACCGGCGTTAGCGGTGTTCTGTATAATCAACGTGTTGCCCGATGGCGATTTCACGGAAGCCTTTGTTTGCGAGCCTGCGACCGATATCGGAGCCTGCACCTTCGCAGACTTTTGCAGAATCGGCAGCTGTACCTTTTGCTGTAGCTGATACTGCACCTTGCCGCCTTTAACCGGGCTCTTGGCGGCGATGGCTTTAACCTGCTGACCGGTTATCGGCGTCAGAATGGTTTTGTTGCTGATGACAGCTTGCGGGCTCAATATGGTTTTACCGGTGATGGCTTGAGACACCGGTGTCAAGATCGCTTTCGTGCCACCTAGACCTTGAGCTTGAGGAGTCAAAAGAGTCGCGCCACCCTTCGTAACTAGAGCCTTCGAGCCGATGATGGTTTTTCCGCCCAAAGCCGAAGCGCTGATCGGGGTATAGATGCCATCTTTGGTGAGAATTCCCTGGGACAACGTGCCCGTGAATAAAGCTGTTTTAGCGATATTACCTGAAATCGGAGTAAGCATGCCCTTGGACGTGATTATGCCCTGCGTATTAATAATCTTGTGACCACTGGTGGTCAATTTGGATGTGGTAGGTGAGCTGCCAGCAGCAGCGACGGTAGCGGCGACGGTGGCAGCTACGGTATCGGCCTTTGGCGTAATAATAGTCTTGGTGGCGATTATACCACCTTGTGGACTGATCGGGCACAGCAGCTGACCTTTGCTCGTCACGATCCTCTGTACTTTGCCGCTCAGAGTCTTGGAAATGTTCAACGGCACCATCTTGGTCTGGCAAGACTGTCCCGACGTCAATATAACGACTTTGCCACCTTGTTGAATCACCTGCGCGTTGCCTGCTGTCTTGCCGCTAGTTGGAATAGCAATTTTCTGTTGAGTGCTGGACTTACCCTGAACTCCCTGAACGCTATAACGCAGTTGTTGGCCACCCGTGGTCTGCACGATAACATACTTTCCTGGAGTGGTACCTTTCTGCGTCAAAAGGGCTGGCGGTTTGCTGGCTGGCTGAGCGCTTTGAAATTTCAAACTCTTCACCCCACCGGTAAATGGCTGTACCAGCGGTTTAACATTCGTGATGGTTGGTTTCGCTTTGCTCTTGGTCTTCAATATCGCCGGCACCCCGCTCTTTTTCTTTGTCGGCGACGTTTCCGCCACGGTAGTCTCGTTTGCGATCTTGAATTGAGTTTGCTGAGTAGGCGACACTATCTGCGTAGTCGGAGTAAAGGAGAGCGTGGCTGGAATTGAGCTGGATGTTGGCATAATGGAAGATATAACGACAGGCATTTGTTCGATGCTCTCTGGCGTCAGCACGTCCTCGCTGAGAACGAACGGCATCGAGTTGATATCCAGTTCCATATCCGCGAGACTCTGAGCACTCTGTTGTACGTATTTTTCCGTTATCGGCGTGGTCACGACGGTCTGCGATGTAGCTGCGACGGCTTGTTCCTTGTTCTGCGCTTCCAGAAGCGCATCCGTCTCCTCTGTCTTTAATACTTGAAGCTTTTTCGTCAAAGACATGTGCGGGCTGGATTTTACAGCAGTTTTCATCTTGCTATTCGATGGCAGGGTCTCTATTTTAATTATTTTTGCCTTGGGACCGCTTTTTTTATCACTCTTTTTCGCAGTATCCACTTCCAGCTTGTGCTTCACACCTTTCTGCGGTACTTTATCGAGTAACTTTGTCTTCAAAATTTGGACCGGTTCAGTCAACGTTACACTTTCTATTATTCGCGGCATCTCACGCTTTTTTACCGGTACATTAATATCAGACGATAATAATGATGTAGCTATAAACGTTTTCGGGATTACATCCAATTTTTTGACATCAGAGATACTCTTCGTGTTATTTTCGGAAACAGAGAGTGTTTCCGACTCAAGTAATGGTTTAGACGTGGCAACGAATTCGCCGAATGACGGCACAAGCTGATGACCATCAGAATCGAGGACATTATCTCCAATTTTGGTATCGATCTCAATCTTTTCTTCGACAACAACTTCAACATTTTCAAGATCACTCACAATCGGTACATTTTCTCCGATTTGAATATTTTCAGATATCTCCAAATCTTTGTTCAAGTCGTCAATTTTTTTACTTTGCGCAGATACAGCAGCGATACTAGCATCGATCTCCTCAGCTTTTCTTTTGGTGGTCTTTTTTTCCTTTTTCTCTTTGGATGACATCTCAGCGTTTTCAACTATAATCTTCTTCTTATCCATTTGTAAAGTCTTCAAGAAAGCCTCCTGGAACGTATTGGCTGGTTTTTCTTCCAAAAGTAAGTCTTTGTCCTTTCTTCCTTTACCTGTTTCTGGAGTAAATCTACCTTTGTATCTCGTTTGCATTGAAGATTTTTTGGGTGTCAATTGTTGCTCGATTAATGTTTTCGTTGGACTTTTTGGTGTATTTCTCACGTCATCTGCTTTAGGTGACTTTCCCGGCGACTTCAATTTAAACTGATTAACATCCTGCGTTTTCTGCGATTTTTCTTCCTCCATCGATTGCATCTCTTGTTCTTTTTCATCTGATTTATCTGTTTTTTTCTGTAACTCGGAACTTTTCAGGTTTCTTCGTTGTTCGTTCTCAGTGTTCAAAATTTCACCAATTTCATCCGTTACTTTGCTTATCGTCGTCTTTGTCTCATCTTCTTCCTTTACTTTCTCTTCGTCATTCCGAGATTCAGGCTGAGGCTCGATCTCAACTTCAATTATGGGTTCAGATTCAACTTTACATTCAGGTTCAAGTTCAGGCTGAGGCTGAGATTCGAGTTTAGGTTCCGGTTCAGGCTCAATTTCCGCACTTTTATTAGCTTGAATATCTGCGTCAGTAAAATCAATTTGTGACAATTCAAATTTCTTTATTTGAGACTTTTTTGGCGGCAGAATATCCACGTTTGTTTTCATGGCATCTTGTACTTCAATATTATCGGCAGTATCTTCAACTTGCTCTACGATTAACGGCTTTTCGTAATCTGTAAAGCCTTCGGTATCTTTACTTTGCTTTGATAGACCTTCTTTCTTCTCCGTTTCGGATGATTCGTTCACAGTCTTATCTGTACCAAGTCCTACTTTCTCCATATTATTCGTAGCTTCTGGCTTCTGGAACGACATTGTCATTTCTACATCTTTCGAAGATACATTTGCGTCAACTTTTACAGTAGCTATTTCGTCCAAAAATTTTGCTCGTTCCTTGAGTAAATCGCATTTCACTTCTACAGATTTACTCTCTTTTTCTTCTTCGGAAAAGATCTCCTTTTTACCCTCAGGTGCTTTGTTTTTTATATCAATCGATAAGATGCTAACATTGTTTTCGGCGACAGTTGACGTTTGATCAGATACTTCTATCTCTTGCTTATCCATCTGAGTGACGAGTTCGTTGCTCCTCTTGTCAACTCCTTTAGAACGTCTGCCTCTTCTAGATTTGCTTGCGATTCTTTCGGAAGCTTTAGACTCACTCTCAGATTGGCTCTCGTCCGTCCTGAACGCTTTATAGTCAGAATCTTGAACGTATATATCGGACTCCAAGTATTTCTTGTTCGGTTTGCGTCTTCTACCGCTATACGAACGATCTGTATCGGAATCTGAAGTCTTTCGTTCGATTTCGATTCTTTCGCTCACACGAATTCTCTTGTTGCCTCTATTAGCTTTCGTCTTTGGACTTTTATACGCGCTAGCACCTTTACCAGCCGATCTCGCGTTCTTACGTGGTCGGCCTCTTCCTCTTTTAACTAATGTCTGGCCAATACGGTTTCCCGAAAGACTATCAACACTTTGGTCTAACATATCAGTATCTGAATTTTCGCTTTGTTCTGGTAAAGTCTCTGCAGATTCGGATACGGTCTCGTCCTCCGTTTCCGTGGTAAATCGTTCCGATAAAGTGTCGTCTGCTTCTTTCACCGAAGCGTTGTCATTAGATTCCGCGATCGCGTCCTCTGAACCAGTTTTCTCAGACTGTAGTAATTTTTCATCGCTGGATTTAATCTCTGTTTCGTCCTTCTTTTCTGACATTTCGTTACTCTTTACCGATACAGTCTTATCGGTAGCAGTCTTCGATTTCCTTTCAAAATCCTTTGCAGCACTCGAAGAATGGCCATTGTCACCGTCTCCTCTTTCAACTTGAAATATTTCCACAATCTCTACCTCCGTTTCGCAAGTGTTAATATTAGATTTTTGTTGCGTATCTTCGGATCGCATAGTTTTCCCTTCTTCCTTTATATCTTCGTCAGATTGTTTCATTTTTGCTTTATCTTGGACACTCTCGTTGGGCTTTTCGTCCTTAGCTTCTGCCTTAGCTTCCTTCTCTTGTCGATTGTCTCTACCTTGTATTATTTCCATTATTTCGTCAGCTTTCAAGTCCATATTTTTACTTAATTCAGATAGTTTATCGGCTTCTCTCTTAATTTCATTTTTCAGAGCTTGACTCATTTCGAACTCCTTGATAATTTCTTTCTTCAAGGATAAATTCTTCTCACCGAAAACTCGAGGAATTTTTCGTACAGGCGGTATAGAGGGCTCGCTCAAATCATCTTCATCAAAATCAAAGCACGATAGTCGTGATTTTTTGTCATCCTTATCGGAAACCTGTTTGCTCTCACTATCGGAACCCGAAGTATCCCTTTTTTGTGACCTGCTTAACGTTTCACTGGATCCGCCACCAGCTTTGGTATCCTTTCCAGAATTCTCAAAATCGGATTTTTTGTCGAAATTAACGTGTATGTTCTTCGAAGCATGTAAGCTGTCTAATGAATCTCGCATCACGTGTATCGAAGATAACTGTTCGGTTTCCTTAAGTAGCTTTTCTGCTTCTGCTGCAATTTCGTTATTCTCTGCAGTTCCAGCATTCTTCTCAGTATAATCCTTACTATCATCGATGCTTGACGACGTCTTCTCCATGGACAAACTGCTTAACCTGCTATTTGAAGAATGATTTGTATCAACGTTCGTTTCTTCGTCCGATTCGTCATCCCAGTCGGCCAACAACTTTTCTCGCAATTCCGGATCGGTTTTCTTTTTCTTATTGGATTTTTCACTCTGTTTCGAGTGCTTCCGTTTAACTGATTCTAGCTTACTCTCGGTCTTCTTTTTACTCGATTGACTTTTATCTTTCCTCACGTATTTTCGTTTCGGCGTACTAGTATCGGAGATTCGACCACGCGCGTGAGAGTACGTCTTCACCTTCACGCGTGGCATTGGCGAGTCGTCGGATCGATGGCTTTTTATGTGACAAATGATAACGTTAACGCGCGAAGAAGTGAAGTTACAGAAGTGACAGCGATACACTGGGGAACCTGCGTTAGTCGGAGTCGACGGTAAACTATTGGGTTGCTGACGAATGCGGACTTCGTGTTCGCTCTCCCCGCGTAAAAAGCGTGGGTGCGTAATCTTCTTCGCGATATCCATGCCATCGCTTCGCCTATGTCCTTCCTCGCGATCGCGCTTTTTCTTCGGAACTTTCTTCTCACCGAACAGAGCGGAGATATCCGGTTTCTCTTCAGGACAAAATTTCTCCTGATTCAATATATCAGGATCTCCTCCCGTTAATTTCTCCGCCATCTCCACGTCGCCTGGGAACTTGTCCATATAACTGGTACCATCTTTACTCTTGGTCCTATATTTATCTATACATACAAAAAAAAAGAACCGATAATTTTGATTTATTTTGTAAAAAAAAAAAAATTGTATTATAAGTTGTACGATACCTACCCATACCCTTTTTGATAAATTCGTCTTTAAGGGTACAATTGTACTTGTAGATCTGTTGGTAATTTTTCACAAATTCACTGAAAGAAAGATTATTTAAATGGTTGCTTTAAACAATTTCTTCTCTAGCGAGATCAATTAATAAAGCTATTTGTAACTTACTAAGTGTCCTCTTGAAAAAATTTTACAGCAGCTATCAATGGTTTCTTTCGAAATTCAATTTGTATATCTTCCGGCAAATTATCCAGCCCACGGACTTGGCCAGGCCACCAGGATGCTCCTAATTTAACCCAAACGACATCTCCATCCAGATAATTGATTTCCGTTTGTTCACACATCTTTGCAAAATATTTGATTAGCAGCGACCTTTATAAAATCGACATTGGTAAATAGCGAGAGAGCTCTCTCAAATCTATTCTAGAAGAATGGAACGTTGGCACGTGTCCAGGATCGGTATGCTGTGCAAAGAAATACACATAATCTCAATATACGATTAAAATATTTTATATGTAACTCATTCAGAAAGAAAAGATACCTTTACTGCCACATACAAAACAGGCAAACGACGAGCAGCTGCAACGTCGCAGCGTAGCAGATAGCTCGATGTCTCTCTTTCGTACAATCTTTCGTATAGTCTTTTTATTATTCTCTGAATGCAAGAACCGTCGAAAATACTATACACATACAACCTTCATCCATAAATTAATTATTAATCGTTGTAAGATTTCAAAATAGACTTAAAATCGTCGAAACTGTTACTGTACGTTTGTCCAAACGTTTCGTCGTATCCGTAGAACGTGCCGCAAATGTCTCTTAAGCGAATATTCCTCCGGAATCCCAAGCATGCTCCTTGGCGACAGTCATAAAAATAACACTGGTTCAGAACGAATCTCGCGTATCAATGCAACCGACGACGGTGGAAGGTGGAAACAGGTCCAAAAGTCGAAAGACGACTGCGTGGTCTAGCTAACTCGATGCTGCCGATGCTGACGATGCTGACGTTGCTGGCGGCAGCTACGTCGGGCATCTTAGCCCGTGGGTCGCGTGACGAGCGATCAGCCCTCGGTATCTTCGTTCCTCTAGCGCACCTCTAGCTCCGTTTCGGGCGAACCGCCGGTTAAACACGACCAACACGCTCACGAGTATTACGTGTGTGTGTATATATATACATTATATATACACGATGCGTCGGGAAGTCGGCGAGCGTCGGTCCCAGGAACGCAAACGCAGCGGTGGAAGGCGCGAGGAGCGCGCACACACATACACACACTGAGACGCGCGCGCGGGCACTTTCTCCGTCTCTGTCTTTCACCCTGCTCTTTGTCCCTTTCTCGCTCGCTCGCTCGCTCGTTCGCTTTTTCTCGCGACACCTCTCTCCGCCGTATCCCGCCACAAAACGCACACCACTCGGAGGCCGCCAGATACGCCTCGATACGCGATTTTGCACGCATGCACGCGCCAAGTAAAAAGGCCCGAGCCGAACTAGACCGTACTTGGCGACAACGTCGTTTCGAAAGTGCTACGTCGTTCGCACAACAAGACGTACATGTCGGTTACCCGACTCGCAACGGGGCCTCACACGGTAGATGGTGGATCAGAGATACACGACCATACACGACGATTGAATGTGTTGTGTAGACCCGAACACCACCTTCTCTCTTTCGACCCGCGACTGTCGCGAGTCGCGAGTGATCGCGATTGTCGCGAGTGCGAGAGTGCGAGACTTCGGCGGCAGGCCTACCAACCGCCAACATTTTGCGAATCGCGCGCGTCTTTCGATTTTTTATATATCCACCGTTTTCTTTTCTTTTCTTCTCTCGCGACAATATAGAACTTGGTCCAACGTCTCGGTCTCGGATTAAATTCTAGCATCGTAGACACATCAGGCCTTACTTTTCACCTCGTTTCAAGAACCGTAAAGGCCATTGCACGTAACAAAGTTTTAGTCGTAATCGTAAGGCTGTAAGAAAATAGACCAATCACGGGCGATTATTCTTCTCGCGCTTGAAGAATAATCGAGTGTGATTGGTCTATTTTCTTACGGCCTTACGCGTATGATTTAAAACTTTGTTACGTGCAATGGCCTTAAGGGCCCGGACACACTTTTTCGTAATGCTAGGTCTACAATGCGAGTCGTAAAGTCGTGAGTCTCGTAAGAATTGTCCAATCACAATTGAATTTGAGGAGAATAATCGACTGTGATTGGTCAATTCTTACGACTCAAGACTTTACGACTCGCATTGTAGACCTAGCATAAAGCAGGGCACACACACCTTTCGTAGAACGTAACAGTAAGGTTCCGACCAATCATGTTGCTCGATTCTTACTTCTACGGTTACAGACGGCCGAATTGAGCAACGCGATTGGTCGAAACCTTACTGTTACGTTCTACGAAAAATGTGTGTGGCCAGCTTAACAGTAATTAAAGTTTCGACCACGCGCGTTGCTTGAATCGGGAACGTATGTATGTACGGTCGTATGTACGTTCCCGAATCGAGCAACGCGCGCGCGCGCGTGGTCGAAACGAAAAAGTGTGTGTCGGGGCTTTAATCGACAATCGACCCCTTGTTCGCCGAGCGAACGGTGGTGGCGCTATCATCGCAGTTCGTTTCCGGTGTATACCGGCGCATGTATACGTCGCTGTTGTCGTCGTCGTCATCGACGGCGCTGTTTAATTTTTATCGGCGCCCGTTCCGCAGGTTCCGCTATCCGCTTCTCTGCGACACTGTCAAGTGTCACTTCACAAGACTGCACAGGTCGCGAGGTCGAGACCTGCCGGCTGCCACTCTCGCAGTCTCGCATCATCTCGCCGATTTCTCTTTGCGCCTTGCGCCTGCGAGTCTACGGTTTGACGCCGGAAGTGCACGGTGCACGGTTCACGGTTCATTGTCGTCGCGTCAGCGATCAGCCTCGACGTGCGCCTTTGCTCTTTGTCGGAGCGTAGGAAAATGGCGACTGCCGTGCCGTCGCGATTCGCCGTCCTCAGCATCGAGGACGACGATTACAAGCCGAAGAAGACGCCGAAGAACGCGACGGCAACCAAGACCAACGCTAAGAATAAGGGCGACAAGTCGAAGCAGCAGCAACAGCCGCAACAGCAGCAGCCGAACAAAAAAAAGCAGAACAAAGTACGACGTGTGCGCCCATCGTTGCGTTTTTGTTTTTGATTAGCCGGCGGAACGGCCGGAAGCCGGAGCGCGTCAGCCGGAATCCGGATCGTCGCGGCGCGGCGGGAAATCGCGACGTTTCAAATTCTTTCGACGAGGGTTATCATGATCTTTTTTTTTCCTTCGTTTTAGGGAAAAAAGAAGAAAACGAATAACGATGACCAGCAGTGGGAACAGTGGAAGCAAAAAGATACGATGGTAAAATTAGAATTTTTCACCGACGTATGTAAGATTTATTTATCAGATGGCTCTTTTCTAACTTTATTGCTGAAACTTGTCACTTGTTCGAATATGTGTCTTACAAAGTATTTTGCGGTATTTTCTAGTTTGTTATTTACTTAGAGAGTTAACTACAAGATGTACGATGAAAATTTTGAATCAATTTTAAGTCTGAAATTTTATCTCGATATAGAGAGTGCAAGAGATTTAGGATTATTTTTATTTTTCCATTTGTTTGTAATATTTGGTAATTTCTATATATATATATATATATATATATATGTATATAAAACTTAATTTATGTTTATAATTTTTTGTCCTTTCGTTATGTTCACGTATGATTACCTTAAGGCTGTCGAGGAAACGTTCGAGCAAGAACTGCACCAAGCCATCCTGCTGTCGAAATTGGCGTACGAAGAACACGTGGTTAGCGTAGCAAAAAATGACAAAGAGCAAGAACAAAATAAAAAATCTGGTAAAAAGTCGAAAAAGGCAACTATGTCGTTGGAAGAATTTAATAGCATGGGAACAAGTGTGACGGTAGCACCGTTAACAACGGAGCCTGCTCCGGATAAGTCGAGAGGTATGCGTTTGTCAAATAGCTTGAGAATGAACAGAAGACGTGTATTATTAATGTGAAAAACCAATTTTTAACCGATAAACTGATCACGTGTTTGTCTTTTGCAGAAGTAGATGCGGAATTCTTTGAAAGGATAGAGAAGGAGACGAAAGAAGAGATAACAAAGGGAAAAGAGAAGGACATATTGAAGGCCAGATCAAATAAAATCGACGATGATATAACGTTTGCGCAGTTAAGACTGGAGATAGAGAACCGAGATGAAATAATCAGCCAACTGAGGACCGAGGTGCATACGCTGAAAGAAGAGTTGACACAAGTTAAAGAGAGAAATAAAAAACTTTATCAGATATTGTCACACGGCGAGAGTAAGTATCACATTTCTACGGTATACATATATCGATCTCGATATACATTAGTGGTACATACGTGGAAACTTTCGTTATTTGCAACTGTCTCTTTTTCTTTTAGTGAAGGATAAAGCGTCGGTATTGGCTGAAGTAGCAAAATTACAAGAGATACGAGATGAACTAACATCCGAGGTAGCTTCTTTGCACGCTCAACTGGAACAAGAAAGATCTAAAACACGTACATCTAGTGTAGATGTAAAAACATCTAAACAAACTGTACGTTCGATACGTTGTTTTATCGATTTTTCTGGAAATGTATTAGACACGTTTGTGCTTATCGCATCTTACATATTTCAGAACAAGAAGAGGCCGGCCAGTGAAAATGCCTAATTCATTTTTCACGAAAACGTACCATTGTGATCACGTAATTTTAATAACGGTGCATATTGATTAAGTATCAGTTTGAAAAGAAGGAACGTTATATATGCAAAGAGAAATTTTAATTTCTCTTGCATATGCAACATACGTTGTATTTGCTCGTAAAAATAAGTTTAAGATACGCCAGATAGCAGTTAGCTCGATCGTTCCGCGAATGTATATTTTGAAAGTAGACGTACAGCCTACAGTGTTGATAGTTTTTCATTTTTGTTTTTTCGAAAACCGTAGTTTGTTTTTATGTTGTATATTTCTTTTCTCTTAGTAAGTTCGATAAGTTTTTTAAATTTAAAAATACGTTAAAGAAAGCTCTGAAATAATGTTCGCTAAAGCTCTTCCATAAGATTTCGTAATGTATCATCTTCCGAATTTGTGTATTACACAGCCATGTGAATATAAATGATATAAATATATTCACATACCACACACACACACACACACGCGCGCGCGCGCGCATACATGTATGTATGTTAATTGATTATATATACAACTTAAAATATTTTGTAATAAAATGTATATTCTACACAATACTATGTGTTAATCATTAATCGCTTTCGTTCCTTTTACATTTTTGTATGCGTGTATTAATATACAACTGTCTAATTGGTGTAACAAATTTAACATTATTTAATGAGTAAAGAAAAACTTGTTCATTATTTATTTAACAAGCGTTACGCTATCTCATTGTGTAATTTTTTATAATTGCGTAGAACTGACTTTCTTCATAAATCTTAATTTTTTACCTTGTCCGATATATATCTTTATTTAATTCAAAAAACAAACTTTAATAATATTTGTCTATTTTAAATTTCCACTCCAAGGTATTATTAATATCTGAGATTAGGAGTCGTCTTATATTTTTCTACGTTACCGAAATATATTTAGTGCTACGAGTTAAATTTGTTGAACATCGCAAAATTTAAATTAAAAAAAAAAAGACTACTCGTTTGTAACTTTTGTGGTAAAAACTATACGAGTTTTATTAATAAGCCTAATGTGACGTTCCACATTAATGTCCCAATTTTCGAATTCGGACAATTTTGTTTCTGCCCTATGTAATCATCGTCATCTACTCATCTCCATCTACCAATTTCCAGTCTTTTCAACGATTCCAGTGGGCGGCGCTACGCCCATTCGCTACGATACTAAGCTTCATCCGGATTATACGTGCGGTTGCGCATTTTTATGGATATTTTTTTGTTCACTTTTTCTGCCTCGAGTTATTCCGCGTGAATTTTTTTCGAGCTCGCTCCCGGCAACTTCAACATGCAGTTCGATACGTTACACCTCACGTTCCGATTCTTTCTTTCTTTTTTCCCCCCTTTTTTGTACGGCTTTGCCCCATTGGTTCTTCAGTACACGTAAAAAAAGAGAATTTTCCTATTCCACGTTAACTTTTATATGCATTATGAACTATGTCTCGTACGAAGAGAAGTAATTTGTTTTATTCTTGATTGTTTTATCCGGACGATAAAAATTATACGTAATTAAAAATAATTATGTAAAATCAGGGGAACACACACATTTCGTTCGAACATCCTAATTTTCTATACGCATACTGCATAGGAAGCGTAAATTGGTCTTTGGCGTAAAACGTTTGCTATATGTTGTTGAAGAAATGTGACGATCGCTATCGCTTATGACGAGTCAATCACGAAAGTGACGAAAATCGCGATGATTATGTTGGAGAGGCCGCGATTAATGCGATATGGTTTAATTCTGTCTGGGGAGACCGATGCGGGTTGGCGACCTGGACCTGGACAGGCGCGTCCTCGGTCCTCGTCTCTTCTGACTGAGATCTTGACCAATAAAAGGGGCATTAGCGCTAAGTGGACGCTTCGCCTACTCGGTCATAGTCGTGTTTGTTACGCGAGAGCAAGAGGGTGACAAAGATAGGAGGGACGCGTTTATAGCGACAGATATAACTGCCGCTTAATTTGCGATAGCTTGCGCCGATATATCTTCAACTTTTAAGAAATAGAACAGAAAGAGATGACAAAGATAAACGCGCGTGATGATTCGTATACAACTAGAAAATACATATTTAAATTTTCACCAGAGATATTATAAATAACGATTCAAAGCTTAAATTTTATACTTTTTGTCATCAAGCATTATAGCACGTCGTTAAATGAAATAGAAAGACTCGCTGCAAGCAAACGTGGAGTGTGTGACAAAGCTAGAGCACTCTCTATAAGATTCAAGATTAATCCGTTGATCCTTTCGTTCTAAAATAATTAATTGCCGGAATAGACAATCCGGCATTCACAATGCGGGACAGTTGCGCTTTCACTTTACCGAAAGTAAAAAGTTGTTTTTTAGGATAAAACGCGCGACTCTCTCGAATCCATCGCTGTTGCAGAGGGAGAAAGATAAGCGTAGGAGAGAAAGGGGAAAGAGAGAAAGAGAGAGAGGGGGGGGAAGGGGCAAAGGAGAAGAGGGAGAAGAGGAACACGGTTGACGGTGGATTGAGGGTTTTAGGACGCGCGACGGTACAGGGTACAGGGGGGTGACAATGGAGATTCATTATCTGACAGTCTATTGTCATTCCTGCGGGCTGAGATTTTGCTCAAGCCACGAGTACGGCGAGTACCGAGGCATTACTCTACTCGGATATATATGTGTGTGCAATGTATGTAAGAGGGGGAGAGAGTGGCGAAATGCAATACCCTCTCTTTAAAAATAGTCGCGTTTGTTGAAAAGTCGGAGGAGCTGCATTTTTTTCCGCGCCCAACGCGATGGCTTATCTCGATCTCTTACCTTCAAATTCATCCACGAACGAAATTCCATATATTTTTTTTGTTATCGCTTAACGCGACGGTGACTCGCACGTGTTAAGCTGTTTAAAAATCCTTATTACAAATTAATTATTGTTAATAATTTTATTTTACAATTATAGTAACAATCGTCATTTCCGAGTTTCGACTTTCTATCTATATTAATAAAAATTTTATATTTTAGATGGATTAGTTTTGAGGTATATATTGCAGGTATATATATGTAACAGAAAAAATGAATATAAGTCAAAAAAAGTTGTTAGGAATGCACGAGTGCATTTTTGTGCAATTCGAGACGCTCAATGCTTCTATCTCTCTTTAGCGGCCAACCATACCGTGTGCACGTATATGTATACTCGTATATATATAAATAAATTAACACAGACACGTCGAAGAGAGATTACGTATCTCAATAAAGGCAATCGCGACGTTGTTTACCAGATATGCGTTATCCGAGATGAGATATGAGAAACAGAAAAGACGAATGGAAAATTAATACGAACATTAGGCAGGAAAATTAAGGAATTGAGGTGGCGACGGCGAGCGGCGGAGGATTCTCGGCAGAGGTGAGAGGTGAGAGGTAAGGAAGGGAGTCTCGTTGTCACGACGTTATTCATCCCGTGTACTATGTTCATACATATATAGACATTCGCGGTGTCATTAACGCTCTCCCGCGGATATAGCGGCGCGCGCCAAGTGTGCCCTTTTTGAGATGCATCATGCCAAGTAAGCATGAATTTATACATATAAAATTCACGTTTTTTATCGTATTTAATAGAATAATAAAATATTTAATGTAAAAGAACTTGTTAATGAGATAATGAGCATGAAAAATTTTGTTTACCATGATACTTAATTCTTTTATTATTATAATTATGCCTATTAAAATAACAGAATTTGGCACGAGACACTATCGTGTCTCTTGATATTGTATATTATATATTGTACAATGTATATTGTATATATTGCCAAGCGGCGAAATTAAGACTAACGAGGAAAAAGTATTTCTGCGCCGCGAACGAGTTCCCTACTAACGACGGAAATGACGAACTTTCCTTTCCGTAGGATAATGAGATCGCGCGCGCGCGAGATGGCCGCGATCCGGCGATCGATGATCCGCATGATACACGATTCTCTCGTTCGATCGAAATAATATCCGAGAGGATAACTCGTCAAACTCGTCACCTGGATTCGTATAATTGATCGATACAATATCAGAAGCGAAGATATGCCCCGCCGGGACCTCGCGGCGGCATGGCATTCTCGGCTTGTAGCAAGGACGCGACGTCTGATTCCATATCTATTTTGCAAGATGCAAGAGCGGCTCATCTTCTCGTCGTCGGGAGGAAAAGAAGAAGGAGGGGACAGTGGTGCAATTTAAAGATATGATAAATCGATACGATGCGACGTTACATCGTTATTTTACGGGAAATATTTGTATTTGTTGTGTACGAGTCACGAGTGACGGCATGCGGCATATCGATTGAAAAAATTCTGTTACAAGTCTCATCTTATAAAAGATCTTATAAAAGTTTAAGATAGTGAAATAGAGTTTTCGCGAACAACCGAACTTGTTTGACTTTCGAATTCGGCTATATGTCGAAGAAATTTTTCTTCGATTACTTATTTCACTCGATAAATGCATTTCTTTCAATCTGTGGTATGTAATTTTGGTTACTCGATATTGTTTTGTTTCAAGTTCATCGATATACGTCCTCAATGGTGCAGGTATATAGTTTAGGTCGTTGTTATTGGAACACGTATAATCCGTACCGTATGATCGTAGCAATAGTCATAAGCCATACGCAGACCTCTGAATATGTAATATGTCACGCGTCTGATTACATCGCTAATTGTAAGATCAAGCAGATTCCGCACGATGTATCAAGCGATCAAATCGCGTTCATATTCAGCATACCGTTCGGCAAATTGGCGTTTAAGACAAGATACAAGATACATCCCGCGAGATACACCTCGCTCGCCGCGCGCGCCGCGGTTTATCGATGGTACGTTATTATCATAAGCTTCATATCCTTCGATCATCGCGTATATCGACAGAAAGTTTACTTACGTATCATCTCGTATAAGAGACTCAAGAGTGCTCAAATGCGCTGTCACTTTTATATTTGACAGTAGAAGGGTACTCAAAAATATCGCAATGCTCGGTTTTTCATGCTTGGACGCTTTTGCCTTTATGGTTCCCCGCACTTGTTAAGGAAAACGAAATTGTTTCGCCATAAAGTTATAAGGCTAAAACGGTCGAGAAAGAAGACGTAAAGAGACATAAAACGCGTCATGCGAAAAATTTTGCCCCGTTTCTTCGTGGGATCGAGCGACTTTGATTCTCGCGATTCGAATCGAGGAATCGAAGCCTAACCGAGGCCGGCCGCCGCGGCGCGCGGCGCGGCACGGCGCGTCGCATTGTCGCATAGTGTGTCCGCCTGTCCAAGCCAATATACTGTCCATCAGCCGGTCCAGCCGTTCATCGATGCACGCAGCACGAGCACGCGAAACGATTAAAGTTTTACAAGTATCGATTCTATCACGGCGCTAACGTTGACAGACAGAGGGATCGTCAAAGAGCATAATAATTACTGCGAGCCCGTAGAGAAGAGGCTCAACCCTTTGTTCTATAGTCATTTTACGAGAAGGGGCTACCCGCGCTGGGGATGCCGCGAAGGGATCGCTCACGGTTGGAGAGCATCCG